GGGGAGGGCGCAGCAGGAGCGACTCAAGTCCGGGCGCAGTCGCGCCGAAGGAGGCGACTCCGAAACCGCTGCCTCGGACAAGCCGCAGGCCAAGCCAATGGATGAGGCCGCCGCCCCCGCCGCGCAGTCAACTGGCGCCTCGAATGGCGAGGCCCCTTCCCCAGGGCAAGGCACCACCTTGCAAGGCTGCGGCAATTCTGCTCCTCCCTCTTCGCCGCCGGCCGCGCTTCCTTTTCAGCCTTGCGCTGGCGCGCCATCTGGGCCAGCCGCCGCGGCCCCGCCTGCGGTCATGGCAGCTCGCGGCGGCGCCCCCCGAGGCGGTTCATCGGCAGTGGTAGCAGTGATTGGGTGCATCACGATCAGATGAACTACTTGGGCCAGTGGCAGGATTCGGGTCGGGCGATCCAGATGGGGCATCTTAGCTGTTTTTGATCGGCGACAATGGGCGCGATGGCGTTGCGGCGACCCCCGTACCTCTATTCCACTTTCTGTGCTGACCAGCCTGCAGCGCCCCTCCGTCGGGTGCGTTCCATTCCCGCGCTTCGGTTGATTTCTCTGTGGGCTGCGCGCTGGATGCGCGACCCCAATCAGGGCCAGACGGATGGCGATCGGCTCGAGTACTTGGACTGGTGCATCACTTACCGCGCCGCGGAGCTCAGCCACCTTCGGTTTGGATGACTCCCGAGGGTGCGCAGCCAGTCTCTGAGCCAGCTCGCAGCCGATATGTGCACCGTGGCATGGCGCAGAGGAGAGCGCCGTCGGGCTCGCTACCCCGTCCGGCTGACAGCGCTGAATGCTGCGCAATTTCGGGCGGCTCATCGACCTCCGCCGCGCTGGCCACCAACGGCTGCGCGCCTGGATGGCCAGCCCCGATCGCGCGGGGCAGGCGCGCCCAGTCGGGCCGTCTGGGCGGCGGCGGGGCCGCCGCGTCTACAACGACCTGGGGCCAGATCTGCGAGGGGGACCAGCTGGGCTCCGATTGCAGCGACGTCGAGGATTGCAGCATCAACGGCAGCGGGCGCCAGGGCGAGTGCGATGGCCGCGAGGGGATCGCGCGGCACCAGCTCATCGACATTTCCCGCGACGAGGGCCGCGGGGGCCAGGACGTCGACTTAGGGGGCATCTGCAGGGGGCATTGTCGCGCCTCCCGCGATGGCGCTTCGGACTGTGTCAGCATGCATCGCGGCACAACGCGCGGCGTGAGAGCGCATGGCGTCCGAGCGCTAATCTCTGGAGCTGCGCGCCCAGGTTCATGCTCGCCACGCGCCAGAGGAAACGGCGGTTCCGAAAGGCCGCAGCGACGGGGGGAGGTCTGGCCTCGCCTGCCTTCGCTGGGCGTGGCGCAGCGCGCTGTGGCTTCTCGGCCCCGCTTGGCGTAGAGGGCGCGCGCTCCCTTGCTGCGTTTGGGCTCGCGTTGTCAGCTCTGCGCGGGTCCGCCGAGACCAGGGGGCGCCCGCCCCGGCGTCAGCATGGGTCCGTTCTTAAGAGACCGCGCTGGCCAGCAGCGGAGGCAGCTACTTCGCTTTTTCCGTCCCATGACCAGCGCGTGGATGGCGCCAGAGCCCGGCGCGCACTCTGAACTCGAAGGTCGATTTGGATAGAGGGAACATTGCGTGCTCTGCGGTTGCCGCGCGCTGGGCTGCGAAGCGCTCGCAGCCTCGCTCGACGCCGCGGCCCGGAGACATGGGGGTTGCGCCCCTGAGGCGAGGCTCTCACTGGCACGAGACGTCGGCGCGAGGGCTTGGGATGAGCGCGCCCGAAAGAGATCGAGGTGCCAGCGATGGTCCCAGACTCATGAGATGCAAGATGGCTGGGTGGGCTGCGAGGCCGAGGCGCGCTGACGCGTTGACGACCACCTGGAAACCCTCAACTGGTTGAGGGGGCGGGCTCAGCCAGACTCTACGACAACGGAGGCGACTCTGTCAGGCAGCTCATCGGACACGAGGTCTTTGCTTACAATTTCCCCGTCGGCCACCGCGGGGGCCTCGGCCAGCAGTGGGGGGCGCCGCCCCTGGTCCTCTTGGCCTGCTATCTGGCGGTTCATCACCGTTAACCCTAATTCCTGGGCCTCCTGCCAGGACGCGTCGAATGGCAAAGGACCTGAGTGACCCGTCGGGCCGCGCCTGGAGTGTGCAGGAGACCCGGCTCGAGACATCCCGCGGGCGATCTGCTGCCGGCTGGGCCCTCCGGACAGGCCAAGATTAGGTGTCATTGGCCTGGGAGATATTTTAAGCATAAACGTTGCGTTCTGGTGCTGAATTAACACTTATTGCGAAGGCCTGACGGCCGGTGCCGCCGACCCTGTTCGCAATGCGCAGCAAGAGATTACGAGGTTGCTCAAGGTCGGCTTGGCTGGAGCCCAGGGGAAGAGGAGTCCCAGGGGGGGTCGTATCTGACCCGGGGGGGGGTCGACCCCCCCCCCCTCTGGGACTTCCGACTCAATTACGAGGTTGGGGGCTTGGCTGGAGCGCCCAGGGGGGGGCGTCGTATCTGACCCGGGGGGGGGGTCCCCCCCCCCCCCTCCCGGCGGGGGAGGGATCAAAGGGAAGGGGCTTCCCTTCGACTCAATTACGAGGTTGCTCAAGGTCGGCTTGGCTGGAGCCCAGGGGAAGAGGAGTCCCAGGGGGGGGCGTCGTATCTGACCCGGGGGGGGGGTCGACACCCCCCCCCCCCTCCCGGCGGGGGAGGGATCAAAGGGAAGGGGCTTCCCTTCGACTCAATTACGAGGTTGCTCAAGGTCGGCTTGGCTGGAGCCCAGGGGAAGAGGAGTCCCAGGGGGGGGCGTCGTATCTGACCCGGGGGGGGGGTCGACACCCCCCCCCCCCTCCCGGCGGGGGAGGGATCAAAGGGAAGGGGCTTCCCTTCGACTCAATTACGAGGTTGCTCAAGGTCGGCTTGGCTGGAGCCCAGGGGAAGAGGAGTCCCAGGGGGGGGCGTCGTATCTGACCCGGGGGGGGGGTCGACACCCCCCCCCCCCTCCCGGCGGGGGAGGGATCAAAGGGAAGGGGCTTCCCTTCGACTCAATTACGAGGTTGCTCAAGGTCGGCTTGGCTGGAGCCCAGGGGAAGAGGAGTCCCAGGGGGGGGCGTCGTATCTGACCCGGGGGGGGGGTCGACACCCCCCCCCCTCCCGGCGGGGGAGGGATCAAAGGGAAGGGGCTTCCCTTCGACTCAATTACGAGGTTGCTCAAGGTCGGCTTGGCTGGAGCCCAGGGGAAGAGGAGTCCCAGGGGGGGGCGTCGTATCTGACCCGGGGGGGGGGTCGACACCCCCCCCCCCTCCCGGCGGGGGAGGGATCAAAGGGAAGGGGCTTCCCTTCGACTCAATTACGAGGTTGCTCAAGGTCGGCTTGGCTGGAGCCCAGGGGAAGAGGAGTCCCAGGGGGGGGCGTCGTATCTGACCCGGGGGGGGGGTCGCTACCCCCCCCCCCCTCCCGGCGGGGGAGGGATCAAAGGGAAGGGGCTTCCCTTCGACTCAATTACGAGGTTGCTCAAGGTCGGCTTGGCTGGAGCCCAGGGGTTGCTCAAGGTCGGCTTGGCTGGAGCCCAGGGGAAGAGGAGTCCCAGGGGGGGGCGTCGTATCTGACCCGGGGGGGGGGTCGCTACCCCCCCCCCCCTCCCGGCGGGGGAGGGATCAAAGGGAAGGGGCTTCCCTTCGACTCAATTACGAGGTTGCTCAAGGTCGGCTTGGCTGGAGCCCAGGGGAAGAGGTCTCCCAGGGAAAGGGAAGGACAGAGACGACGAGTACAAAGAATGACGGAGATGACGGCTCGAACGGAAAAGCCCCTCACTCACGCCGACAGGGTCGGCGGATAAACGTTGCGTTCTGGTGCTGAATTAACACTTATTAGCTTCAACTAGTTCGGTTAGTTTTGGCCTTGATGCCCCGTTCTTGAGTCCAGCCCGACGCGCCCCCGCGCATCCCAGCCCTGCCGAACCAGTCGGTCTTGGTAGTCCAGCTCCGCCCAGCGCACTGCGGTCGAGCCCCGCCGTCCTGGCTGGCTCGCTTGCCGCGGGCGGCTCCAGTATTTTGGTCGCTGGCAGCGCGACCCCGTTGCGCTGGCAGCGTTTCTGCGTCGTCGGATCCTCTCGCGGGGCCTCAGAGGCCCTCCCGCGTTGCACCCAGCATCTTCGATTTCCGTGCCGGTGCTAAAATAATCAGTGCAAGCGCGCTGTTTCGTTGTACTTATTGAGGCGCGTACATGTTAGCACGCCCCAGCCCAAAACAATTTGGGCCCGGGCGCTCCGCCGTTCTGAAGGGCTCGCCCGCAAACACCTTGGGGCTTCAAGTTCCTGGGAGGGGCAGGTGCCATGTGCAGAGGGCCCCATGAGGGGGATTCGCTGCCACCTTGTTCTTCTCTATGTTAGGGCTCGCCGAGGATCCCCTGCCACTCCCTCGAATCCCTTCACACAGCGCGGGCGTTTCCTCTGCCAGCGTGTCATATAGCCAATTTGGAATTCCAGCAAAGACGCCATTGATTGAGGCGCAAGCGGGAAAAGGGGAAGTGCGTACATAGGAGTCGGATTTGGCGGAGGAACAGGATGGTATACAGTATAATCTTGACGATGAGGAGGAACATGGGCAAGGACGAACAGCAACAGTAGGAAATCGAGTGACATGTTCAGGATAAACCAGATGACCATGGGAAGGCGTCCTGGATGAAATTCGGGTACAGAAAGGCGGCCTTCGTCGGGGCCAAAACGCCAAATATTGAACGACGGGAGCAAAGCGACGACGCATAAATGAGGCCTACGCCGCACTGTGAAAACCGTTTGAAACACCGACGACAATCTAATTGTAAAAGGCCATGTGAAACACCATCGTGAAATAAAGGCCGTGCTTTAAACAAAAAACGGTGCGCGGACAGTGCGGGGCATCTTCCAGACACAATCAGAAAGTTGATGAGAGTCATGCTCACGTTGTACAAGAAAGATGAGGTCGCCCCCCCCCCCCCCCCATTTTTGTGGCTCGCTGTCCGCATGCGCCCCCCTCGGCTTGCAGGACGACTGGGCGGAGGACTCCGACGGGAGCGCCGGCGGCGCGAGCAGCTTCGGCGCCAGCGGCAACACGGCCAGCAGCAGCAGCAGGAGCAGCAGCAGCAGCAGTAGCAGCACCAGCAGCATTAGCAACAGCAGCGGCAGCAGCAACGGCAACTGCAGCGGCAGCGGCGGCGGCCGCAGCCAACCCAAGCGGCGATCGTGCTGGCCGGCCGGCGTCGCAAGTGGCCGGCGGCGCCTGGGAGGCCCGTGGTTCGAGGATGCGGCGCTGCGGCGGCGTGGTTGGGAACGTATCGCCCCCGCCGGTGGAGCCGCCCTGCCTGGCCGCCGCGCTGACGGGGCCGAACCTCCAAAGTCCGCGCTCGGACACGGCGCTGCAGGCCCGCTCGACCTGGGCACGTTGGCGGGTCTGCCGCTAGAGGCCATCCGCGCCGAGCTGCAGGCGGGCCTCATGTTGTTCCAGCGTGGCGTTGTGGCGCAAGAAGCTAACGGCAACCCGAGCGGTTGTGCTGTGCCGGTGTGTGCAGGCCGCGGATTCTCTTCCGACGGATCGCCCACAGGACAGATATTTGGTCCTGACGCGGCGGCGCGGCCGTTGCCGGGGCTCGCGGCTGTTTCCTCGCCGCAAGCAACCGCCTCCGCAGAGGTCGACCCACCGCTGCCATGGCCCGCGCAGATTCCCGCCCACTTGGGTAGTTTGCTGCCGCCCCGCGGCGGCGGGCGCGTGGGGCCGCCGCTGCCGCGTCCACCGCCACCGCCACCAGGCGCCCTCTCCAGGGCGCTGGAATCTTTGTGGCCGACGAAGGCACGAGGCGAGAACCTCCGCAACACCCTTGGGCTGCCGACGGCGCCCACGTGTGCCCGTTCGTTGGCGTCCCCCGAGACAGCTCACGAGGCAGGGGAGGCGCCGGACTGGCGCGCCGCAGCGTCTCTGCCGCCTCTGGCCGCGCAACGCACGCAACCTGGCGCCGCTGCGGGCCCGCCGCCGCCAGCCCGCCAGGCCGAGCCAGCTGGGCGGCTGCTCCCGCCTGGGCCATTGCGCGGCCTCGAGGCGGGCGGCGCCCCCGCCGGCCCCGGGCAACTGGAGGGCGTCCTCTGGGCCGCACGGGCTGGGCCGGCGCAGGCTGCGCCGCGGCGCCCGCGGCCGAGCGGGAGGTTGTTGCCTCCCGGGCGGCTGGGCAGGCCGGGCTGGGCGGCGGAGGCGCTCGAGGCCGCCCTGGCGGGCGGTGACGGGCTCAAGGTTGGGAGGGCTGCCAGCTGCACACCGCCAGCAGCAGTGGCCATACACCTGCCAGGTCAGGGTCGGCGTGCAGACCTCGTGGCCTGGGGCTCCTCCTCCTCCTCCTCCTCCTCCTCCTCCTCCTCCTCCTCCTCCTCCTCCTCCTCCTCCTCGGAAGGCCTGCACACCAGTCCAGGGCCCGCGATGGGTGTGGCTGGGGCTGGTGGTGGTGTATTGCTCGGGCCGGACGAAAGCGGGGGATAAGGAAAGGGGGGGCTTCGAAATCTGCTGCATGCAGCTGGTTTCGGCCCCACCGAGGGGGCTCATGCCTCGATACATGGCCGCCTCCGGCGCCGGGAGGCGCCGGGAGAATCAGCCGCGTGATCTGATTCTCACCCCCCCGTTTGCTATCCCCCCTTTCGCCCAGCCCGAATTGCCTGGGGCTCTGCTTGAAGGGCTACCTGCAGAGCCTCGGCTCGCCGGGCTCGCCGCAGCACGGGCCGCCAGGCGGCGCTCGCCCGGGGGAGGCGCCTGCGCCCGCGGTGCCAGCGGGCAGCCCTCGGCGTGGCGGCCTCGGCCTTCCGCCATCCCGCGGTGTCGGCGCGTGGGGCGGCCCCTCGTCCCTGTCGCCCCCCCCCCCCCGCTCGGTGCCTCTGCTGCTCCTCTCCGCTGCAGCCTTTTCCTCCTTGCCGTCGCTGTCGTCGTCGTCCTCCTCCTCCTTCTGCTCCTCCTGCCCCTCTTGCTGGTCCTCCTGCTCCTCCTCTTACTCCTCCTTCTCCTTCACCCCCTCATCATCCTACTCCTACTCCTACTCCTACTTCTACTCCTACTCCGACTCCTACTTACATTCGCCCTTCTCCTTCTCCTCCTCCTCCTCCTCCTCCTCCTCATGATCATCGTCCTTCTCCCTTGTGCTGCTCCTTCTTTTTCCACCTGTTCGCTTTCCTTGCTCTGCAATTTTCTTTGTTACCCCCTTTTCGAAGTACCCCTTTGCCACACCCGCTCACCCCCCTTTTCCTCTTCGTCGTCTTCTTCGTTTCCTCCATGTGGGTGGTTGGGCAAGGGGCGCGGGGGTGCCTTCTAAGGAGGAAGCGGGGCCTCAGAAGTCTTCTCAGATCCCTCTGGCCCCTGGTCTTTTTCCTTCTCGCACTCCGCTCCTTTCGGCTAAAGTAATCGAAGACCCCTGCGGCAAGTCACCGTCGCTCCCAGCGCCTATGTCGTGAATTGCCCAGCGAAAGTGTGGCCACCCTGGTGGACTTCGTATTTTCCCAGGCCTTGGGAAAACCACTAGGGGATACTACGGGAGGGAGGGGTCTTGGGCTGGTGCTCTGTTTGGCCTCATGGGTTTTCTTGGTGTACTCCTGGGGCCTGTTTGGGCCATCTTGGAGCTCTCTTGGTCCGTCTCAGGGCGCTATTGAGCTTGCGCCTTCGAATGCCATCTCTACGTATCTGGGCCGTCTTAGGCCCCTCTTGGGGGTCTTGGGAACCCTCGTGGGGGTCTCTTGGGCCGTCTTGGAGCCCTCTTGGGCTGTTTTGGGGCCGTCTTGGGCAGTTTTGGCTGTCTTGGGGCGATATTGGGGGCCGTTCGGGCCGCCTTGGGCTGTTGGATGCTTGAACAGGCTAGGGTGCGGAATCTCATCAACTACAAACGTACCATCACTGAGTTCTGCCTCTTGGAACCTTTCATGGGTCCTCATGGAGCCTTCACGGGGCGTCTTAGGTAGCTCTTGAGCCGTCTTGGGACCTGGTTGGGTTGCCATATGGGAATTTTGTTGGGCCATCATGGCAGTCTTGCGAGCCGTCTTGGACATCTCGGAGGCAGGTGTTCTGGGTTTGGCGGTAGTTTTACGGCGGTCCCTTCCGGGAGCCGCAGGGTGGGCCGAGTGGCGCGTGGGAGCCTTTTGGAAGGGCCATCTATTGTTCCAGAACCTGGCACGCCAAGCGCTCATGGCTAATCGCAGGGGGCGGCGGATTGGATTGTCTTCGGCCCATCCCGCCACAGATTTCCGCGATTCCGATTTCGAACCGACTCGATTCCGGGATTCCGATTCGCGATTCCGATTTCGAGTTTGCTCGATCCGGCTTCTGCCGATTCGATGCGTCAGCCGATTCCTGCCGGCTTTTGCCGATCCGGCTTCGCTCCGGCTCTGGCCCCCAAGGGGAGCAGGAGGAGGGAGGAGGAACCCCCAGGGGGGAGTCCAAAAACCCCCCTCCCCCCCCGGGAAGGGGTTCCAAAAGCTCCGGGACCCCAACCCCCCCCAGGGGGGGGTTTTCCAAAAGCTCCAGGATCCCAAACACCCCCCAGGGGGGGGGTCCAAAAGCCCCGGGACCCCAAACCCCCCCCAGGGGGGGGGGGTCAAAAGCTCCGGGACCCCCCCCCCCCGGGGTGGTTTTCCAAAAGGAAAGGGACCCCACCCCCCCCCACGGGGGGGCTCCAAACACCCAAACCTCCCCAGGGCGGGGTTCCAAAAATCCGACCCCCCCCCCAGGAGGGGGTCCAAAAACCAAAACCCCCCCCAGGGGGGGTCCCAAAAACCCGACCCCCACCAGGGGGGGGGTCCAACCCCCCCCCCCCCCCCCGGGGGGGGTTCTGATTTCGATTCCGATCCGGCTTGACGCGGTCCGGTTTCTGACTCGATCCGGCTCGGACTTGCCGACCTCAGCCGATTTCGATTTGGCTGCCGGCTTTTGCCGATTTCTGCCGATTCGATGCTCCGTTCGAACGATCCGGCTTATCGATTCGATGCTGGGGCCGCCTTTCATTTTGATGACTCCGTGTGGTCTCAGAGGGTCTTCTCGGGCTGAAGGGCTCCAGAGGTCAGGGCTCGCCCTTTGGGCCTTTGTCGGGGCCGTGTTGGAGGCCCCTCGGCTTTCTTTCGGGGGCTTGGGGGACGTCTTGGGTCGATCTTGGGGCCCAAGATGGCTCCAGCGCGGATCCCTGGTACCCTCTTACGGAACGTTGGATGTTGAGGATTTCAGTCGTAGTTCCGAGGCTCGTGGAAGAGTCATGCGGGGAACCACAAGAGCGCCCATGAGCGCCCAGGCTTTCCACCAATTGGGGATCTTGGCTTCTCAGAGTTCTTGCAGTGTTCAATGGTGAGGACTCCTGGGGGCCTGAGGGCACTCCACTCAATGTCTACGTCTCGGTGTCCATTGATACAGGCCTCTTGGCCCCGATTCCTCGGCCCTAGGCCGATCCCAGAACGCTTCCTCTCGACGCGTTCCCTGGAAAACAATGACTGTGCTCCGACGGGGTCGTACTCGCGATCCTCCTCCTCTCTCGCTTCCGCGGGGCGCTGCTCCGTCGCTCCTTCCCCTGCGGTGGCTGGTCCGCCCTTGGGCCAGGCGCGCAGCAGGGCCCGCGTCGGGCGCAGCGGTAAACCAGGTCACCCGCCGGTGCACGAAGGGATGCCCTCACTCCCGCCTCGCGGTTCGCGGCCACTGTGGCCACGGGGGAGGGGGCGGGCGGCTCCCGAGGGCGGAGGTGGCCGCGCTCGGTGGCTTCGCGGGACGCGGAGCGCGAAGGGAGGCGGCCCGAGGAAAGAGAGGATGTGTGGCCGACTGCGTGGTGTGGCCGCCGGCCCCCTGCGTGCCTGTTCCTCCCTTCGGCCCTCCATCTCCAGCTCTCCACTTTTTCTCCGGGCGCAGGGCCGAAGTGGGGCTCCGCGCTGCGGATTATTATTGTTGTTGTTGTTGTTGTTGTGGTTGTTGTGGTTGTGGTTGTGGTTGTTGTTGTTGCGGTTGTGGTTGTGGTTGTTGTTGTTGTTGTTGGTGGTGTTGGTGTTGGTGTTGGTGTTGATGCTGGTGTTGGTGTTGGTGTTGGTGTTGGTGTTGTTGGTGTCGTTGTTGTTGTTGTTGTTGTTGTTGTTGTTGTTGCTGTTGTTGTTGTCGTGGTTGTTGTTGTTGTTGTTGTTGTTGTTGTTGTTGCTGTTGTGTTTGTTGATGTTATGTTGTTGTTGATGTTGTTTTTGTTTGTGTAATTGTTGTTGTTGTTGTTGTTGTTGTTGTTGTTGTTGTTGTTGTTGTTGTTGTTGTTGAGGTTGTTGCTGTTGTTGTTGTTGTGGTTGTTGAGGTTGTTGTTGTTGTTGCTGCTCTTCTTGTTGTTGTTGTTGTTGTTGCTGTTGTTGTTGTTGTGGTTGTTGTTGTTTTTGAAACTCACAACTCAAGAATAATTGATGTTGATCCCTCCTTTCCTGTATGTCGTTTCAATTGAAGTGCTTCCCCCGGGGCTCGCACCCTGTTTTTTTGTAAAGGAAGTCAATCGGCCCAATCTGAACCCCTTGCCCCTTGATTACAACAACAACGGCTCCCGCCTGCTACTTCCTCGAAGTGTATTCCCAAAGCACGCTCTCGCGCGGGACTTCATCACAATTCATATACGCATCGCGCTCTGGCCTAGGACTTGCTCGCAGATTATCCAGACGATGCGCCCTCGGCGCTCTGGAATCACGCTTTTGCTTTGGCATTTCTCGCGATTTACTTGGGAATCGCGCTATCGCTCGAGACTTCATCGCGATTTATGCAGGACCCATGCCTCAGCAACCCGCCTGCTCGACCTGGTCGCGTGGGCCCGCCTTCCCGACCTGCCCGCTATGGGTCTGCCCACCCGATCTGCTCGTCTGGCTCTACCGCTTGTTTTCTGCTCCTTGCCCCCCTCCTGCTAATTTCTCTCGTGCTCCATTCTTCTCCCTCCCCCTTCCACCCGTCCTCTCTTCCCTCGTTTTAGGAGCTGCACTAAATGCACGTGGCAGGTAAGGAAGATGTCCCCCCAAGGGGGTACGATCGAAGATGAAGAGGGCGGGTACCGAGGGTTTGGGATGTACGTATTGATTGGCACGTGAGCAGATCGGAACGAACAGTCTTACAATGATTGTTGAACATTATTACTTCTAAAGAATAATTATTGTTGGGACCCCTGGTACACGACCCCCCTTCAAAACCTAGGCCGCAGCTACATTTTCATCATTTTTTCGCGAAAGCTTCAGAAAAGTGGATTAGTACCGGATCCGGTTGTTTTGTTCCCCCCCGTTTTCCCTTGCAAAAAACACTATAAAATGACATTTCTTGTTCTAATATAATCAAATTTCAAGAATCCCTTGCAAAAAATAAGGTAAAGTGGACATTCGCGCGCGCAAGACGAAATCCTTCCAAAAGCTTAGTGTTCGCAGCGATTTTAACATAAAAACATCAAAAAACCAATGGTTTTTCAACAAAAAATTGTCAAAATCTCATCCCGCGCGCTCTTGCGGATTCGTAGGAAACCCAACACTTTTTAAACATTTCTGTCAAACGGGCTTTTGCGAGCAACTTTTTCGAACTTCTGCGACAACGGTTGCGCACCTGCCAGGGCCATCATCCCTGTCAAATAATACCATGCGGGACACATTCGTTTTTTCTTCGCGCGCGCACGCCGAAATCTCCAAAAACCATTGGGCTTCTTAAGAATTTTAGCACCGCGCATCATAAAATCACACGAATCGCACCGTAGGTCCTCGAAAAACACCTGCACGACTTTTCAAAATTTCCACCCGCGCGCGCTGTCCGAATCCTAAAAAAACCAATGGTTTTCCAACATTTATGTTACATGAGCTCGCGCGAGCTACTTTCGCACGCTCTTGCAACGGGGTTCGCGCGCCTGCCAGGGGCCAGAATCCCTTGCGGTTGCGCCATATGTTGCGCCCTCGGCCGCCGAGAATAAAACGCCCCCCTATTGGTTGCGTCATAGGTTGCGCCCTCGGCCGCCGAGAATAAAACGTCCCCCTACTGGTTGCGCCATAGGTTGCCCCAGGAGGCCTTCAAGAGGCCCCAAGAGCCCGTGGGTGACGAACGTAGGCTTAACAACTTCTGTGGGTGTGTACTCCACGCCAGTGTAGTAGCCACGGTCGTCCGCAGGCCACGAAGTGAAGTGTCCGAACGTCATAGGGCGGGAAGCTGGGTGTGGGTGGTGGCGAAGAGTCGTGTGGATATTTGGTAGAGCTTGCACTGCCCCCCCACAAAGTGGGGGTATTGGCTGGCGTCGCATGAAAACCCTGGCACTGGTGAGAACACTGAGCGTTCGGGTAAAGTGATTGTTGTTGTTGTTGTTGTTGTTGTTGTTGTTGCTGTCGTCCTGGTCCGCAACCCCCTCCCCGCGACCCACCCTCGACGCTTCCCGCGACCCACCTGCGACCCACCCCGCCACCCACTCCGCGCCCGGCTGCTCACTCTTATCGCAATTGCGGGGTGCTACGTATTTCTCCTTTCACCTCTTTCATGCCTTCCTGCTTTTCCTTCTCGCCCGCCGCAGGTGGCGCCAGGGTGCATCGCCATCGGAGTCTGCGGAGCTTTCTGCCTCTAGTGCATGCGCATTGCTAGGCAGTGGTGTTGCAGCTGACGGGCCCCCCATTTCCATCTTGTACAGCTTCTGCTGCATTGCCCGCCCCGGCGCCTCCGAGCTACCTACACATCACAAAGGAACAGGGTGGTCCTGTCGAAGCAGTGAAGTGACGAGTCGCGCAGGAGGTGGTGGACGAGGTGGAGGGAGGGAGGAGGAGGCGGAGGAGGAGATTGAGGCAAGGCCTCCTTCTGGAATGTCTGTGATGACGGTCCGTGGCTCGCCTGGCAGAATCGGATCGTGGCATTCCTTCGCGGCCACCCGCTTGGGTGCGAAGGGTGGTCGCGCCTCGCGCCTGTCCTTCCCTCCAGGGGCGGGCGCGAGAGCGCGAAGACGAGTCGCTCCGCGCGCCGCGCGGTCTTTGGCCACCCGCAGGTCTTGGAGGGCAGTGTCTGCCCGCTTCTGTAGAAGACCAGTATCTCGGGCCTATGTGCTAAGTGCCGTTCTCACTTTCTGCTCACATGCGCCTGCACGCACCTTGAATGTCATTATACATACACTCTAAGTAAATAGACCCCCCCGGCCTGGGGGCGGCCACTCCGCAACCATCCCAGAACACTTTTGGCTACCCTCCCGATTCGTTTCGCAGAGACGGCATGGAGAGGCCAAGAGGGCCCCAAAACGGGACAAGAGGGGCCCAGAAAGCGCCCAATAGGGTCCAAGAGGCCTCCAAGACAGCCCAAGAGCGCTCCAAGACGCCAAAGATGGCCTCGAGACGGCCCAAGAGGCCCCAAAGAAGCTCCCCCGCGCGACATGAAGGCAAGAAGCCGGGCCATGCAGAGCTGCCGGCTGCGGCGAGGGGAGCGTTGAGGGGGAGGGCCAGCGCCGGAACAGAGCTGCACTGGGCTGCGGTGAGCTGAAGTTGCGGGGAACACGCAAACAGACACACGTGCAGACACACACACACACGCTCACACGCACTCACACACAAGCGCACGCACACACACACAAACACACAAACACACGCACACAACACACACAAACACACACCAACACACCAACACGCACACACACACGTACACACAATACGTACACGCACATACACGTACATACACGTAGGCACACACGCATACGACCCGCCCACCCCGCGAACAAGCAGGGAAAGGGTCAGGGAGCCCAGCCCGCCCAAGGGTTCGCAAGAAGGAGCAGGAGAAATAGGGCACCCACGCAGGACCGCCCCCCCAAACCAGGAGACGCGGGGGCGCGCCCCGGTCGCCGTCGTTGCTCTCTCGGCGCGGCCTCGCTGCGGCGACGCCCCTTCTGCGTCTCAGGGGCGGCCGCGATCTCTCTGGCGGCCTCCCTCTGGCACCGAAGGGGAGACCCTTTATTTTGCCCGCCAGCGCGCGCCAGGGCGTGCGCGGGCGGCGGCCGCGCCTGTCCATTCCCCTCTCGGCGCGGCTGGTGCCCCGCCGTTCGAGTAGTTTTCCCGCCTCGCCCGCCAGTGCCCCCGGGGCGCGCCCTCTCAATCTCCCGGGGCGCCCCGGCACGATGCGCCCCGCAGTGGACGCGGCGGTCAGCGGGGTGCCGGCGGCGCTTCGCGACCCTAGATCGGCGCGAAAAAGGATGTTGCCTGCCTGTTGCTGCTGCTGCTGCTGCTGCTGCTGCTGCTGCTGCTGCTGCTGCTGCTGCTGCTGCTCGTCGCCGTCGTCGTCGTCGTCCTCCTCCTCCTCGTCCTCCACCTTCCCCTCTTCCCCTCCTCCCCCTGCTCCTCGTTTAGGGCTTTGACAGGCCCTGTGTTCCAGCGCTCTCCAAGGCCATGCGGCCATGCGCGAGTACCTCTGTCGCAGCTTTCGCAACCTGTTTCCTACGTGCTGAGGTTAACCTCGCTTATGACGACGTGGTGGCGGAAAGCCGAATCCTATCCCCTCAAGCGCCGCGTTCGGCGGTCTTCTGGTGGTTTTTGGATCTTCAGGTGGTTGCTGCAGGCGTTTTAGCGTTTTTTTTGTTTTGTTGTTTTCTTTATGCATGAGCTTCGTCCGTACTCACCAGGAAAGTCTTGGGCCTGGGAACTTAATAACAGCATTCCTGTCCAGGCCCTGACCAGCCTCCAGCCCTGGATTGGCATGACCGGGATCGGAGCAGGCGGGTAGTTTCACAGAACGCAGCGACGTTAGCACTGACAGCAAACAGCGGATATCTTCTGAAACAGACAAGCCAAGATCCGTGGGAAACGTTACACTGCGAGTCTCTGCGCTACGTCCACAACCCTTGCATTTGTTAGGGCCCTGGCCCGCCCGCGCTGCCCTCGCCGTTGTCGTCGCAATCGCAGTCGCAGTCGTCGTGGTCGTCGTCGTGTTTGTCGTCGTCGTGTTTGTCGCCGTTGTCGTCGTCGTCGTCGTCGTCGTCGTCGTCGTCGTCGTCGTCGTTGTCGTCGTCGCCAACGTCGTCGCAGTCGCAGTCTCCGTCGCTGTCGTTGTCGTCGTCGTCGTCGTCGTCGTCGTCGTCGTCGTCGTGGGCGTGGTTCTCGTCGGCGACGGCGACGGCGATGGCGGCGGCAGCGACGACGACGACGCCGCCGCTGGCTGTCCTCGTCGCTGCTCGCTTACGGGGCTGGCTCGAGTCAGCTGCGCGGCGCGGCGCGCGCGAGCGCGGCAGGGGGGCATTTGCGGGCCGGCACCAGGCGACTGGCCGCCGAGGCTGGGCCCCCGGGGGGGCGGGGAACCGGGTCTAATCTCGCGCGGACTCGCTTCGAGAATGAAGTCGGGATATGCGCGGGGCCCTGCTTCGTTTTCTGTGGTCGTTGTTCATCCACCAGATTTGGCCGTGAGGTTTATTCAATCGCTTCGCTCATTCCGCCGGCCCATGTTGCATGATCGCTTCTGCTTCGCCGTGGGCCCGGGGCCAGTGTGGCGCCGCCGAGGAAGATGAGGAAGGGGAATGGGAGGTGAGGAGGAGGAGAGGACGATAATGAGAGGAGGATGAGGATGAAGATAAGTAGGATTTGGAGGAGGAGGAGGTGGAGGAGGAAGAGGAAGGGGCGGAGGAGGAAGCCTCTCGTTGGCACCTCGTGTTGCTCTTGGGACCAAACAGGGTCGTCGTCAAGATGCTTCTTTGGGAGGTCTCTTGGGTTCTTTCGAGAAGCTGTTCGGGGGCGCCTGGGAGGCATGTTTGAAGCCTTCTGGAGCCTCTGGGGGCCTCTTTCGGGCCTCCTGGGAACCTCCTGGGGCCTCTTGGGGGCCTCTCCTGGGGCCCTCTTGGGGCGGAAGGCTCGAGTTTTCGATTCGTGGTCCTCCTCTTGGGCCCCTCTTGGGGCCGTCTTGGGGCCGTCTTGGGTCGTCTTGGGCGCCTCTTGGGCCGTCTCGGGGCCCTGTTGGGCCCTCTTGGGGCCCTCTTGGAAGCCTCTTGGCCCGTCTTGGGGCGCTCTGGAGGCCTCTTGGGCCGTCTTGGAGCATCGGATTGCCGGAAAGGCGACAATGCCATAATCCTTCCAACACCATCGTAAAAATTATGATTTTGGCCTCTCGGGGCCCTCTTGCACTTGGAGGCCTCTTGGGCCGTCTTGGGGTCATCATCGGCGTCTTGGAGCGCTCTTTGGGCGTCTCGGGGGCCTCTTGGGCAACTCTAATAGCGAGCTGAGGGACGTAAGGAGTGGAAGCGAGCGTGCGCCCCTGGCCGTGTCGGCTTAAGCGGCCGGCCGCCCAAATTTCATTGTGCCTCACCGCGAGGCACACAATCGCTATCGAGACCAACAGGATCTTCCTATTGCTTGAGATGGCATCTCCTCTCATACTGGGACCATCGTTACTACGGTACAACAGGGCTAGAGCTTGGCTTCGCCTGAGGCGAAGCTGTTGGCTGGGCCTTCCAGCCCCCTTTCAAACTTGGTAGCGGAGCTGGCCTCTGGTGGTCAGCTCTAGCTCTACTCCTCACCATCCACGGCACTATCTGGTGGACTACGGATATGGTGGAACATCAGGGTGCAGTGGGATTGCGCGGAGGAGTGTATATAACTACGCAGTGCCGCAAAGAAACTTGCAGCGATACCTCTGTTCAAGCGGAGGTCTCTTACTCACATCCTACATCCCTGCGCTATTACACTCCTGAAATCCACCCATCTACTCCAATTGGGAACTTCTTCGAAACATCCGTGGTGGCGATGCTGCTGGGCCGTGGCCCTCTGGCAGCAGGTGCGTGGGCGCGGCCGCCCACCATTTTTGAGTGCTAGGGGGCTCGCAGCGCCGAGGCGGACGTGTACCTCGGCCAGCTTCTGGGCAAGGCCCCCTCCGACCCGAATGCCAAGGAGGTGCACTCCGCCACGTGCGAGGGACTGGTCCGCTCTGCCATTTTCAAGGGCAGTGATGTGCGCATTGCGAGCGGGCGCGCTCACAACCCAACTGGCTGGCCGCGCCGAGGGGTGGAGGCGCACATTTGGCAGTGGAAGGTTTGCGTCTCCTTTCCCCATGGTGGGGGGCGACATATACATGTGCTTGAGATGCAGGCGCTGCTGACGACCTTTCGGTGGCGCCTGCGCGCGGCCTCTGCCCTGGGAGGTCGATTGATGCATATTTGTGATTCGCAAGTGTGCGTTGCCGTGGCTTGCAAGGGCAGGCCCACCTTCGCTGCTGCAGCGGTTGCTCATGCGCTTGAGTGCGCTTCTGCTGTCTACGTCGTTCCAACCCTACTACGTCTGTGTGAGTTCGGAGCTCAATCCGGTCGACGCGCCAAGCAGATGGTAGTGGCCATTCTGGCAACAGGCACGAGGCAGCAGAGACAACGCAACCGAGCAGGAGCAGGCACCTTGCGATCACTTCAACTCCAGCCGCGCACGCTGAAGCGCTACTCTGGGGCCGCCGACTTTTTCTTCAGTTGGCTCGACAAGCGAAATGAGCCAATGCCCCGGTCCGTCGCTGCCGCCGACGAGGTTCTGGGATAATATTTGGAGGGGTGCTGGACCAGCGGCGAAGCCGAGTCAATCGTGGGCGACGTCGTGTCGGGCTTGCAGCGCTTCGTCCCGTGCCTGCGGCGCGCGCTTGATGATTCACGGCGGCTCTTCTGAACTTGGTCGAGGAGCGAAGTCCCCTCGAGGGCCGGGCCGCTACTGCCTGAGCAGGCCTTGGCCGCTACTGCCCTGTCCGAGGGAGACACCGCCGTGGCGGCCGTTATCCTTGTGAGCTTCAAGGGCTTCCTTCGCCCAGTGGAAGCCATGCTGCAGGCGAGTCACCTCGCGTGGGACTTCGACAGCGGTTCGGCGCATATTAACCTCGGCTTCGCCAAGGGCGGCAAGCGCGCTGGAGTTGCCGAGCACGTTGTCATAGACGAGCTCGAGGCCGTTGTTCTCCTGGCTCGATTGCCGGGGGGCGCGCCGGTCGGGGCCCAGCTTTTTCCCCCGAGGAGTTGCAGGCTTCAGGGCAAGGTTTCGCCAATTGGTGGGGCAGATCGGAGCTGATCCCGATCGGCATCGGCCCTGCAGCCTGCGCCAGGGAGGCGCCGCGCGCCACTTCCAGGCCGCTGGCAGCTTGAGCAAGATCTGTGTTCGAGGCCGCTGGAGGCACCAGCCGACAGCGAGGATTTACATCCAAGATGGCGTGGCGATGCTGGAGCGAGTGCGCATGTCAAGCCGAGAGAAGGCACTTGTGGGCAAAGGTAAGGCGCTGTTGCGCCGCCTGCTGTGAGCCCTCGGCCAACCCAATGCCTCCTCACATCCTCAATCTGGAGAGCATGGAAGGGCGCCCGGGGGATCGCGGCCGCGCGGGGCCGCCGTTGCCCCGCTCTCCCCGCCCTCGGCGGAGGCCCTGCACCCTGCGCCCAAAGAGACGCTCCCTGCGAGCGCAGGGGGGGGGGGGGGGGGCTTCGGCCAGCAGGTGGCCGCGGGGCGACGGGCGCCCAGAGCGCGGCCGCGCTCGCGCCCAAGGGCGCCCGCCGCCTCGGCGCGCAAAAGAAGAGCGCCGCGCGCGGCGCGGATGGGGGGGGGGAAGAAGGAGCGAGCGCCAGCTATTCGACCTCGTTTATTAGTGCGAGCTCCTGGTCACTCAGATCTCATCGCAGCCTTCTGGAGCCGTCGACCCGCCCTGCAGCTCGGCGTTTTCGACGCCGACGAGCTTGAGCGGCATCGTCCTGCGCTGAGCAGAGGGCGGGGCGCCCGGGGGATCGCGGCCGCCGCGCAGAGCCGCCGTGGTCCGACGCTCCCCGCCCTCGGCGGAGGCCCCGCCACCTGCGTCCAAAGAGACGCTACCTGCGAGGGCGGGGGGGGGGGGTGCGGCTGCGGCCAGCAGGTGGCCGCGGGGCGACGGGCGCGCAGGGCGCGGCCGCGCTCGCACCGCGGGGCGCCCGCCGCCGCGGCGCGCTAAAGAAGAGCGCCGCGCGCGGCGCAGGGGGGGGGGGCGGGCACTCGTCATCTTGGAGGGCGCCACTCGATTTTTTTTGTGGTTTCGAGGTTTGACGCCGCACCCATCATCGGGCGTGGCTGGCCATTGTTTCGCCCGCGCGAACGGGGCGCGCGCGCAGCTTCTTCCGAGGTTGGGCGAAGGGTCCGTCTTCATTTGCGTCGTCTCCATGAAGCTTGCACTTCCGAAAGTCTTCGCGTTGAGATAGCGCCCAGCCGCAAGTTATGCTAGTCAGCGCGATGCCGTTCTGCCACTCGGGAGTTTGGGCAGCTCAGCCTTCAGGCACAATCCAGTGTTGTGACGTGCTTTGTCTGCTTCCAGACAGGCTGAGAGACGCGCTCAAATTGCCCTGGCTCCAGCCCCGGCCCCGGCCATGGCTGGCCCCGCCCTGGCGGGCCCCGGCCCCGGCCCCTGGTTCGAGCCTGGGTGCCGGCCCCGGCTGGCCCTGGCCACGGCTCCAGCCCCAGTCTTGGCCGACCCCGGCCGGCCGCGGCCCCGGCCCTGGCCGACCCCCGTCGCCGTCTTGTTTTCCGTCGTCGTCGGCGTCGTCGTCGTCGCCGTCGTCGTCGTACTCTGCTCAAGCAAAGCTCAAGCAAAGCCAAGCCAGGCCGAATCAAAACTTCAACAAAGCTCAGACAGAGCTTGCACGAATCTCAAACAAAGCTCAAGTAACGCTCAAACGAAGCTCAAACAAAGGGCAAACTAAGCTCCAGCAAAGAACCAACATAGCTCAAATGAAACTCAAACATAGGTCCACCAAGTCTCCATCCAAGCCCAACGCAGCACGAGCAAAGCTCAATCAAACCCAGTTCGCGCTCAAACGAAGCCCAACCAAAGCTCAAACACAGCTCAATCAAATTTTATAGCGCAAGTCAAGCTCTAACAAAGTTCAAGCAAAGCTCGAAGGAAGGTTGAACAATGCTCTTGTCCGCGTGGGCGGGCGCAGTAAGTGGGGCAAGCGGGGCAAGTGGGGCGCATTCCCAATGGTGGCGCACTCCGCATGACGTCGCCTTTCTCGCGCACGTGCCTGCGCCCCTTCCCTCCCAGCCCTGGCTGCCAGCGGCGATGATCATGCTGCTGGCGATGACGACGACGATGATGATGCTTGTGATGCTGCTGATGATGATGACGATGATGACGAGGATGATGCTGCTGATGATACTGATGGTGGTGCTGATGATGTTGATGCTGATGATCATGATGCTGATTGTTGTGGTGGTGGTGGTGATGGTTACGGTGATGCTGATATTACTGATGATGATGATGACATGGTCGTGATGATGATGGTGCTGATGATGCGTAATAAATCCATTACAGATATTTGATTATGGTGCGAATAATTTTACAAACAACAGCATATAACCCATGAGTCATACTGATGATGTTGATGCTGATGCTGTTGCTGATGCTGATGCTGCTGATTACGAATGAGATGATGATGCTGGTGGTGATGATGATGGTGGTGGTGATGATGAGGGGGATGATGACTCTGATACTGATGATGCTGATGATGGTGGTGGTGGTGGTGGTTGGGCGTGCCCTGGCAGTGATGATGTGTGCGGGCCCACAGGGTCCAGTGCGCGCTGAAGGACGGAGCTACTTCAGCTCGCCGGCGGAGTTGGAGGCAGCTGCGGAGGGCTCAGGGGGGCCTCGAGAACCTACAAGAAAGGACCTGCGTCGTACGCCGCGCAGTAAATGCACTCGACCCCGGCCCATCCAAGCCGTCGAAGCAAGGAGAGCCGAACACCGAAGGCGCCGTAGGAACAGGAAGATGAAGCACCAGACCGCGCAGGCCGAGGACTTCGAGGGCGCGAACTCGAACGAGGGTGATGCCGAGCAGGAGGAAGATCCCAATCGTGGATCGCCGGGCGCAGCATCCGGTGCCGACGCCGCTGGCGACTCCCTGGGGAACTCCAAGAAGCCCTGCGACATCAGCGTGGAGAAAAAAGAGGCTGCCGAGGATGAAACGCCAGAAAAACCACCATCCCGAGGAGCCAGCGCCGCCCTGGGCACTGGCCGAAGCTCAGCCCAAGGCAACTGGGGGACCCAAGAGACGCGCTGCTGCTGCCTTCTCGGGCGCGCAGGCCCCCCCCCCGTCGAAGGGGGCATCGACGACGACGCGGTAGCCGTCGCTTCCCAGGCCGAAGTGCATCGGGGCCGTCGGTGTCTACGTCCTGGTTCCCGATGAGCACGGCAGCATTTCCGTCCCGGCCCACCGCCGGAGCAGGAAGGTGGGTTTCCCGAGCGCGGTCGCTACTCCAGGTGGCAGGATCGGCCGGAGGGGTCTGGGCGTTGCCAATAGGTGGGGCCTGGGAATTGACTGAGCCGCCAGGTGCGCGGCCAGTGGGGGGCTCGAGGAAGAAGTTGGACTGAACGTTTCTCCGGACAAGAGATTCCTAACGACGAGATCACGAACCCGCCGCGCATGTTCACAGGGACCCTTCTCCTTGAATATCCGTGGATTGCACGATCGCGCAAACATTCTCGTGTTGAGGTGGAGTGCCAGTGATGGAACGTCCCGGGACTTCGCGCGGGAGACGAGCGCCGCGTCTCGGCCAGCGTTGGCGAACCTCTCCAGCGACAAGATTCGTTACTCGCACGTGAACGGCCGCTGTTCTACATCGCGAAAGGTTTTGCATGTGAAGCAGGAGATGGCGGAGGACGAGACGATGGAATATTAGGGCGAGAAAGTGGTCCAGGCGACGCAGGGCGAGCCGCCCAACGTGGGGGGGGAAATGGACGCTGGCCTACCGACGACCTGATCTACAATCTGGTTTGGAAGAGCGAAGCACGACAGACGTTGGAGGATCAAGCCTAGAACCCTACCGCGGCCATTGCCGAATTGGTGGCGGAGATGCTGGCAGTTCAGCACCAATGCCCAGGATGCCCTACCTTTCATGTCTGGGTGAAGCTGTTGACGTCCATGCCCGTCGATAAAGCTATCGACATGGTCGCGTCGCGCAACGCATCTGGCGCCGATATCGCGGTGAATTACTTGGCGGACGCAGCCGCGAACCAGGTTTTCGGGCCTCTCTATGGTTACCTCTCCGCGTGCACGACGGCCGAGGCTGGCGACCCCGCGATTGCTCGCCTTGCGTCAGAGCTCGCTTGGAGGAGCTTCAGCGACCTGCCAGGCCGGGGCCCCGCGGCGTTGGCGCTTGTTGACAGCGTGACCTACGACGACCCCAGGAGGATTGGCAGGAGCCTACGGCGTGCACCCCAGGAGAAGAAGGAGAAGATAATTGACGACAGCGGGGGTGGCTGGTGAACGGCGGCGCGACCGCTCTCCGGGATCTCGCGGGGCAGATCGCTGACCGCGGCGAGCGAGGGCCGCAGGCGCTGATGCGTTTTTTTGACAGCTGCGGTGAGTTGACAAGGCCGCGTCTCTTCTCGAGAAATACGTGGACAACGTTCCACCAGCTGCGGAATCCCTGATGAAGGCCATGAGCGCCGTTGCGGTACTCGGACAGTGCGTCTCCACTCCTGTGGTGACATAATCTCCAGTGGAGAAGGCCGAGGTACCACTCTGGCCTGGAGAGAATCATGTCTGTGCCCACTGGAGGAAGAGCTACAATCTGACAAGAAAGAAGGAGCAAGTCATCGAGCATATGATGAGCTCTCATGGGGGGCATGTACCAAGGTCGACGTGGCGAGGGGCTGCCTGGTCGACGCTCTCTGTCGCTGCGATTGTCTTGAACGCGTTGGTTCTGGAAGTTCCCTCTGGGATGCTCAGCTGTCACAATGACCAAGTTTTTCCGGGGGAGATGTTTCGGGCATGCTCGGCGGCCCCCGTGTCCAGGGTCCGATCTCATATTCAACCGGGCCGGGGTGGCTCATCGATATGTCTGCGGTGCGTGCCACGGAGATGGATCAAGATAATGTGCTCGGCCACCTAGGTGCAGTCATCCCGACCGCCCACCATGGCGCCAGTTCTGCAGCTCTTGCTTCTATAACGAGCAAGGGCGGTCCGCGCGAACTAAAGCGGGGACCTTCGAGCAAGAACAACGTCATCGGTGTCCACTGTGAAGGGGCAGCCCGTCGGGCCAGGTGCACCCGCTACATGGTGCGCGCGTCGTCTGATGTGGGCCCCGAGGTGAGTCT